TGTCCCCTGCATCGGCAGGCGGACTCTCAACCACTGTGCCACCAGGGAAGCACTAATGGGGATTTTTTGGACTACTTTTCTTTTAAGTACCAGGGGTACTAGAAATACATGGCTGTTCCATTATGTTATTTTAGCATAAAATCATCAGAGTTTAATATTCTTTAGAATTTTGCATAAGTGTATAACATCATAGACTTTATTTTGCTAATACAGCATTTTCTTTTTTAAAGTGGAAACACCTATTATTGAAAATCATAGTTCACAGCAATCTGTAAGTGAAGTTTCTACCGTCCCATGTCCTAGAATTGATACGCAGCAACTGGACCGGCAAATTAAAGCAATTATGAAAGAAGTCATTCCCTTTTTGAAGGTAAGCAATTAATTTTCAAAAACAAATAAACTGTTCTGTATTTATTTTTAAAATTCATACCAAAGACTCCATTGTAATAAATTAAGAAAATAGGTAAACAAAAGAGAAAACTAAAAATCACTCATAATTTTGTCACCCAGAGATAGCTCCTGTCAATATTTTGTCAACCTTTCTGTAATATTTTGTCCATATATTTGTGCATTCTTCTTTTTTCAGATATTAATAATATAAACATCTTTCTGAATTGCTGTTTTCTACAGAGTATGTTTTAATGGTTACACACTGTTGATTCATTATTCTTTCAAAAATATTTGTAAGATGCCTACTTTGTCCACAAAACCTGGCATATAGTAGTGAACAAGTCAAGACCTTTGCTAACATGGAGCTTACATGCTAAGATGAGAATATGGATTAAAAAAACAAGTAAATATAAAACATATAAGTAGATATATATCAGGTAGTCATACATGCCATGCAGAGAATTAAAATATGGTTATGTGATGGTGTCTATTTTTGACTGGATGATCAGGGAAGGCTTTTTAAAGAGGGAACGTTTAAGCAGGGGTGTGCTTAAGTAGCCAGCTTAAGGTAAGATCCTGCCAGACAGAGGAAGGCCTTAAATTAGAAGCTAGCTTGGCATGTTAAGGAACTGGATGAAGGACCATGTGGCTGTAGGAAATTTTTGTGAGATGATGTTGGAGAAGGGGGAAGGGCCAGTTACATAGAACATCATAGGTATGGTTAGGAGTTTGGATTTTGTTCGAAGTTCAAAGGGAAACTCCTAGAAGGTTTTAAGTAAGAGAGAAACAAAGTCTGGTTTGTTTATGGAGAATTAAATATAGGGCTCAGAAGAACAATGAGACAGGTGAGAAATGATAATGGCTTAGACAAGGGTGTGGCACTAAAGATGGGGAGAAGTAGACAGTTGGGATATATTTTGGAAATCCGGTCCTACTAACAGTAGGTAGGGTCACCTAAAGCCCAGCACTAGATAGGAGAAGGTGGCCTAGAACTGGGCCCCAGGATAAAAGTTGTACAGAAGAGGAAGAGCCAGAGTTGACTAAGTAGGACTGCCAGCAGTGAGCTATGTTGATTGCTACTGTGAGGACTGAGTATTCATAGAACAGAATTTCCTGTTATTTTGTCAGTTCCTGTTGTTAAACATTTATGTTTATTCTGTTTTCTTTTTTACTATTATGAACAATACTTAAATGATTTAGCTAAATTTAAATACACATCCCATTTTTATTTCCTCAGGAATAATTCTTAGACATAGAATTTCGAGCTTTAAGGGTATGAATATTTTTAAGGCTTTGGGGCCTTATGTGCATTGTCCCTCAGAAAGGTTAACAATTTATATTCCTACTAACAGTGAGAATAGTAAGCAGTACCATTAATTTTGTTTAATGAAAAAAGGGGAGAGAAAGAAGCGTGCAAGCCAGGCCTTCTTTCTGAGATGGTCCCTTTTACATTCTCATTTAAAGCGGAAATTTAAAAAATTAGAAATGAAAAGATGGTCTTTTCATTCAGATGTGGGAAACTCCAAAATATGTTGTCATTGGGCTCATTTCTTACAAGCTACTTGTACTTGCCAATGTGTAAGATGTTGACAACAGAAAGTTGTTTCCATATACTTACATTTCTTCCCTTGGTGGAAGTAATTGCTTTCTTTGGAATATTTTTTTTTCCTTTGGAATATTTTAAGAGAAGAGAGATCCTTGAAAAGGCAATTATAGAAACTGCTTTCTCTGAAGAGATGTGATAGCCAAGAGGAGAGAGAGGATCCATCTGTCTATGCCCAAATTATTCCATGTGAAAAGTGAAAAACTTAGCCTTTTCCTGGGCACCCACAGCAGCTCCAAATGGTTCTTTCTGTCTCTGCTTCCTCTTCTAATCTTTCAACTCTCCTGCTAGCGTTGCTATAGCACTTTTATGGCTTTGGCACTTGCTGATACTTCTACCTGGGATGCTCTTCCTTCACATACCTGCATGGCTTTTTCCTTTGAACCCTCAAGGCTTTAATCAAATGTTACTTATTGGGTGAGCAGATCTCCCCTACTCCTTATCGCTTTTCTTCATCTTCATAGTGCTTGTCACCTTATAACCTATTTAATATTTGCTTATTTATTTTGTCTGTCTCTCTCTCTTGTTACATGTAAGCTCCATGAAGTAATGGAAGATTTACATCAGAGATGTTAAACTGTTTTGGTCACTGTCTTACCAGTGCCAAGTATAGTACATGCGGGTAGTAGGTACTCGGTAAATAATTAATTAGTAAGTGAATGGATCCACCAAACCTTGACTTTGGTTTTCAAACTGATCAAGTGTAGTTTGAAATATAGTTTGAAAACAGTTGGCCTATAGAATCCAGATCAGATTCAGCATTGCTCATAAAACTTTTTTATAGCCTGGTCCCAGCCTCGTAACTGTTCCTTCCCACATACCTTGTATCCTACTTGACGTTGTTCAAAAAGGCACCTTGCCCATGTTACTTCCTTTGCCTCGAATGCCCTTCACCCTTCCTCTGGCAGTCACACCCTTGAGGACCCAGCTGAAGTATGTTAGCATGTACTTGCAGGCAGGATTTCTCCTTCTCATAACTGCTTCTGGGATACTTGCTACATATGACAAAGTATCACAATTTTTTTGCCTGTATCTCCCCACTAGAATAATGTCTTTCTCGATTTCTTAGTATTTTCACTCAAGAAGGACTTCAGAGACTAGATGAAGGGAATCTGAGGAGATAAGACAAATACATCAGTTTCATCCACTTATTAAAATATGTATTCACCCCCTCACATATTTATATTCCTATAAATTATAAGAATATGTATATATTCTTATAGATAGATAGATAGATAGATATTCATTTAAGAGTTTGAAACCATTCCCTAAAGTAAATTGACAAACTATTCAGGTTATTGCTTGCTTCTATCTTAGGCATAGACAACAAAGCATTACCTTTTTTCTTTTAGGTTTTTGTTTTATTGTAATTCAATAAATACTTTTAAACATGGTTTTTTGGTTAAATTAGGTATATTGGTAGTGATATTTATTTGATATGTACAGTTATTTTCTAAGTGTTAAAAAATATAAATGATTTAGCTTTATGTGTAGGGTATGCGACTA